CACTTTTATTTTAAAAGTACTGCTATATGAACAAAAGGGCAATAACATTTGGTTCACGAGATGCAGCATGTTTTATACTTAATGTGAATATAATTCATACTTTGTTGGCATCTTATTCTGAAAACCGGATGTTCGTCTGAAGAAACCGGATGTTGTCTCACGTTAATCTTTCCGCTAACTTTCAAAGTCCTTCGCTCGCTCCCGATCTGTGCCGTTTAAATGTGTTTACCGTGAATGTCAGCATATAGGTGCACTAAAACTACTGACTATAGGAAGTTTGCTGGCTTTTATCCCACTGTCCTTGTCATCCTCTTGTTGTTATGTCTATGTATTGTCTCTTGTCTTTCAATTTAAAAAAATAAAAAATAAATAAATTATAATAAATTTAAAAAATGCGTTAACGCGCGATAAAATAATTGTCGGCGTTAATTAATGAATGCGTCAACGCGAAATTAACACGTTAACTTGCCCGGCACTAATATATATACATATATACACGTAATTGTATGTACCTGTGACAACTGGACAACTCCTCCTCTGTTGCTAAGCGAGCTGGTATCCGTTGGCAGCGATCGACCAATCCCAGCTGCTGATGTTTGGAGAAGATTTTAAAGATTCTCTGAGGCTGTTCAGGGTGATTTCTGCAGAGAGAGTCACATCCACGTCAACTCTACGCACAGACACATCTATTCACTATGCAGGCTGTTTATATATATATATATATATATATACATATACATACATATACATATATATATATATCTGTAACACTGTTCACTCTGATGGTAGCTCACCTGTCCCACATGTTCAGGTGCTCCATCATCCTCTCGTCATAAACCAGACCTGTTACGGTGGCAACAGAGGGAGCCGGGCATGTCTGCTTTGTGCTCTGCTGATTGGTTGTTGCTCTCATGACACGGCCCTCAGCCAACGGGCCGCCTTCTGCACAAGGAGGGTTAATAGTGAGGGAGTCACTTTATGACCTTAATCAAACATTCCTCTGAATATAATTTATGTTTCTTGTTCTGCCACCAAAGTCCATTCCAGAATCGATGAATTCAGCCATGCTCATATTTAACAGAGTGTAATATGTGATGATGTAGTTTCTCACCCAGTGTTTGCAGAGACACCCAGTGAGGATACAGAGCTGAAACAGTCTGAGAGATGGACTGCAGAGCACTGACAGACAGACAGACAGACCGGTGGTTAGAAATCAACACCGATACTGATGAACAGGTGTGACTCGGGAGTGACCCGGGTGCGACTCGGGAGTTCCACATGTCACCTGTCAGAGGGAGCGGTGGGTGGGGTCAGAGGAGGACAGGCTCCTCCCAGCAGAGCTCTCACACAGGCTGCAGCGCCCTCCGCTGTCGACTGCAGGTTATAACCTCCCTGCACACAATTATAATAATAATTATCATCATCATTAGTTATTATGATTATTATTAATATTTCTGTTACTATAAGAAAAGAGAACTACAGCTCCAGATATTATGTGTGAACATGAGAGATATTTGGCAATATGAAATCATTAATAACACCTGAAGGTTTGTTGTTTATGTGTGAATAATGAGACATGTGTTAGTTCTTCTCGTTGCAGATATATATATATATATATAGATATATATATATATATATGTATATGTCTATATATATATATGTATATATATATATATATATATATATGTATATATATATATATATATATATATATATATATATATGTGTGTATGTGTATGTATATGTGTCTATATATGTATATGTCTATATATGTATATGTGTCTATATATGTGTCTATATATGTGTATGTGTATATGTGTATATGTACATGTATATGTCTATATACACAACATAAGCTACACAGAGATGATGTGAAACAGTTTTTACCTCGAGAGCAAAAACAAGTCGACCTTCTGCCAAACTCATCAGCATGTGAGTCAGAACATGAAAACACTGAGGAGTGACACACATCTCCCCCTGAACACACACACACACACACACACACACACACAATAAAAAGATTAAATACATACATTATATTTATTGTCACTGATCTCAGGTTGGTGGAGCTTTTACCTTCTGATCTCCGACTGCAGCATCAAATCCAGCAGAAACCAGAACCAGCTGAGGCTGAAACTGAACACACATATATATCATTTCATAAATATATTATCCTGTCGGTGTGTGTGAGTGTGTGTGTGAGTGTGTGAGGGTGAGTGTATGTTACCTCGTAGGCTACAGGAAGTAAGAGTTGTTGAAAAGCTGCGATGTAATCAGCGTCTGTCATCATCGTCTGGAGGATCAATAACACAGAGCACAGTTCACACAGTGAAGAGTTCACTTTAAAACAGTTTATGATGAGGACAATTAACGATGAGGACAGTTTACGGTGAGGACAGTTTAAAGTGAGGACAGTTTAAAGTGAGGACAGTTTAAAGTGAGGACAGTTAACAGTGAGGACAGTTAA